ACACGCGACACGAGACCATATATATGCGTATGTGTATATATATATATACATACATATGTTTTGTTTTGTATTGTATTGCCTTTCTGCATACAAATGCACTGGTTACACAGCCAGGCGGCAAAGCGCGTCGTCGCCTCGTTACTCTCCGGACGTCTCGAGGCAAGTTTCTCGGGGCTTGAGGTGCTCATATAGTGACCTACAATAGATGCATTCAGAAACCCTAAGCGGATACGATGCTAATGGTGGTTCTTCCGAGCCTCTATAGTACTGCAGGCTCTCCATGGAAGCCTCTTGAGAAAGATGTCGCCGACTGGCAGTCTGCAGTTACAAACTTAACTTGGTTTAGGGTCTAGGGTTTTAGGGTTCTAAACCCTAAGCCGTGGTGATGTCTGTCTAAAAGGTTGAGTCTCTTACTTTTTATACATGTTGACCGTCTTCTGCCTTGGTTGCTCCAAAGGGTCCCCTGGAAGCATCGTGATTTCAATGGCATGTCACAGAGAAGAATTAAGCTGGTGTCAAAAAGATTCCGCATCCATTCGGGTTCCTGATCTCCCGAGGACCTTCACCTCGACGTCCGGGCTCAGAACCAGCATGTCGATTGATCATTCTCGTCCCAACCCAGTCTGCAAGGCAACCTTGCGTGCGGCTTTCTCCGGATGGCGTTCTGCGCAGGCAACCTTCCTTCCGTTTGAAAGGGTTGAGTGTTTCTGCTTGTTGTCTGCTGCAGTGATTCCCGGATTCCGGATGCCGGAACGCAAGACGATGAAGTGCTGCGTGGCCTTGTTGCACCTGTCTGATGCACCTTGTGCTTCCCTCCCCCGCTGATCGAAATTGGAGTACTTAAAGGCTTAAAGGTTGTAGTCAGAGATGGACAGAGGCGTGTACACGCAGTGGTGCATGAATACTGGTGCGGTATGTTGGGGTATAAGTATAAGGTTAAATAATGCTAAAGAGGGCATGCTGGATAGTTTCAATCAGATGCTCAAACTGATTGGTTTATCTCCACCAATGCCTCGGTCCAGCTCCTACTAGCCCTAAACCCTGGACAAGCTTTGCTGCTCCCTACGCGCATTGCCGGCCTTGATCAGGAGTCTGACAAGGTGGCGCACGAAGCAGAACAAATGAGGCCCGGGCAGCGTGAAACTACTGAGATACGAGCATTAAGCGTCATAGTGGTTCAGACTGATGATGGTCGGTATCATCACCGTGAATAATCTGATTGCAGGGCTTTGGGCTTGCTTAGGGTCTGACTCTGAAGCTGTTACGCAGCTGTGGGGGGATCAGGGCTCGCGTTGCCGATAAGCTTCAGAAGGTTTCATTTCTGGAAGCCAATCCCAGAGAGTTTAGTATGTCGTCGACTCAGTCCAGTCCATCGAACACAACCTTACCCAGGCATCGAAGCTTGCGCTGGAAAGTTGACTAGTTTGACTAGTTATCATCGAACCGAGTGGAATGATGGCAGTATCATCCTTCGGAAAGCAGGGTGCTCGTGTTTTCCTTGCCTGCAGTTGACCGAAGGCGAGGAGCTGTGAGTAGTCAGCCAGAAAACTGAATGCAGTTGCCCCGGAAGTCTCAATTCAATGAAAGCCTTCTTTTGGGTGTTGCCGACGGAAGCCATAGGCTTCTCTTGCGATCTGCCAAGATTGACCTCACTGCCTCGCAGGACCGGCCTAAGTCGCCGATGATATAGCATGAGAAGTTGTGACACGATGCGAATACGGCTTTAACCCAGATTTTACAACTACTTGTAGCTTTACCGGCATGCACCATCAGACAAGATCAGACCCTTGCCCCGAAACTTAGAAATCAGACGTCCTCAAGCCTATCGGAATCACCATGGCAAGTATCAAGGATCTGCCCACGTTTCCTGGTGTTGGCGCTATGCTTCAAACCTACATATCAAGCTCGCACTGCATTCGCATCTGCGCCCACACACACACAGAGTGTACATGCATGCATGCACACCAAGTGATGCAAGTATATATGTTTCAGGGAATATTATGAGGACGGAGTGCTGAAGCATTCTGCAGTTTCAATGTGTCCAAATGGTGTGACGCAACACACATGGTTGAGCATAGTTATCGAATGTCTTGTGGGGCCTTCACCACCCAATAGGCATGGCACATGTGATGTAGTTAGTATGATTCGTGCCGTAAGGCATGCAAACACGTACAGTGTGTTGAATAATTAGCCTTTTCCATGCTGTCTGCCACAAGCTGTGGATCATGATGAATGGTTTCCCATCGTCGGCAGCGGTCCGGTTGGGCTCCAGCTCTCCAAGACGGGGGCTCTGGCCTCCTTCCAATTGGGGTTGCTACTGCGAGGTGCAAGATTGAAAGCAAGAGCCAATCTCTCTCTCTCTCTCTCTCTCTCTCTCTCTCTCTCTCTCCGTGAGCATAATGTAGTGTAGTGCACTTAGCTGTCTATGTTTGTCTGCATCTGTACACCTGCGGCACATGTGCTGAGAGATCGCCAAAGCCCCGGTCATCCGCAGGAGCTGTGCGGCGCCCGTGCGGCAGAGGTGGGGATCCGGGGGCTAACTGCTTGGAGGGTGAGCCTCAGGATCGATCTCTTGAGTTCCGGGGTCAGGCTCAGGCCAGAACCGGAGAGCCGCAGGTGTGCAGCCGTTTGCAGAAGTTGGAGCCCGCTTTCGAACTGTTTCGGCTTGAGGCGCAGTTCAAGGAGCCTTCGCGACTCTTCCGGCCATTCTTGTGTGGCCACTTCGGCTCAAAAAGAAGCGAAGGGTCTCGATCCGGGACCATAGAAGACCGATTGAGAGAGAGGGAGGGAGAGAGCGAGAGAGAGAGAGCGCCCGGAAGAGCCATGGCACTTCTTCTCAAGTCTGGGCCCCAGTCCAGGGTGGTTTGAAGCAAGGTAGCAGGCTTAGCTGAAGCAAGAATCCGTGGAATAGGGCCGGCTTGAAACAGACCTGCGTGGGCAGAGACTTGGCTTTCGAAGGATGCTCCTTGCAACCAGAAGCTCCAGCAAGATTGAAAGGATGTGACTACATGTCTGTTGCACATACAGTTCAAATAAAGCCGCAAGCAAACCAAGCCAGCTACAGCAATCTTGATGGCTGGAGGCTAGTGTGTGTGTGTGTGCATAAAGTACCTCCAAAACAGACGAGGTGGCGGTAAACACCATAGCCTGCCTTGCATTATGTTGTGCTGTAGTATATTCTCTTACATCGTACTGCGTATTGTTTGCTCGCAGAACGCTAGGCTTTCGATGCTTGCGGTGACAGCTGCCGCACTGCCGGCCTTTCCACCTTCGTGGGGAGCCGCGGTCCCAGCAGTCCGTTTGCGCCTGGCGCGATGGCCCTTTGGGGCTTCCATGTAAGCTTCGGAGACCGGCTAATGTGCGATGGACTTAAAGGCTTCAATGGGGAAGGACCTGCACATCCCAGAGGCTGACGGGACCAAACATCCGACAAGTCCTACAAAGTTTGACGTTTGACATCCCTTCGTGCAGGGGCCCGGAATTGGGGCTGCTGCTCTTGCCTGTTGCACCTTGCACAGAACTCATTCAAAACACCATTGAGCCCTAAACTCTAAACACCATGCCGCACCCCCACCCCCCCCCCCCNNCCCCCCCCCCCCCCCCCCCACTTCTTTTGGAATTTTCGACCCGCCCCGGCTGGGTTCCCCGGCGGCCGACCGTTTTGGAACCCGACCAGGTGGCGCCCAGGGACCCCAAAACAGCCATACGTGAGAACTCGCCCAGGAAAAAATCTTGGAACTCCTTCAGCTCTGTCCGTTCAGATTGCGCTTAGCCAATTACCTTGTGGAGACCCTGAGTTTCACTTCCCTGTGCCGAGTCCCCGCCGGAAATCATGACGCAGGGACCTCGGCTGGTTGCAGGCCTTGTCCGTTTTGCCGTAGTGGCCTTGTCCGTTGGTGTAAAGCTCCTGGAGCCGGGACACGTGCACTGCGTGCTAGACAAGGATGGACTATGGCCCGTTGGCTGGGGGCTATGGTCACGGATCCAGCTCATTGTCGACATGGATCTACCAGAACATGCAAGAGGAGCGCTTGGAGAGCTTTGGACGTTTGCATAGCCACCGGTGCTTGAGCATGTCTTCTTGTCCTGCGGGCCGCCTCAGACGCGGTCACTTCATTGTGGCCCTGACTAAGATTTTGATACGATTCTTAGGCTCATCCGGATCTCTTGGGGTGATTTCTCTACAGGACCTCTCTGCCGGCCGACCACAGTACCCCCCAGACTTCGGCCCACCACCGAAGGCGCGGAGCTTCAAAAGCTTGAGGTTTCGGCGATTTTACCTGAAGGCTTCGCTTCAAGCTCCCAGGAAAGCTCCCCAAAAATCCCAGGCGCAGACTCGGGACCTGCGGCCCCTGCCTTTCGGCTACGGTTTCGGCTCTGGGACCATGGCGAAATGGCTGACCAAGAAAGCCAAGGCGAGTCTTCGAGGGACTGACAAAAAGACTTAGGATAAAGCTTTCTCTGGTAGAAAGACTCTTGTTCCTGCCGCTGCCGAGACCAGCATGACAGACGGCTGCCGAAGAGACAGCAGAAGAATGTTGCTGGTGCCTGGTGCTGGTAGTGCTGACGATGGCAATGATGCGGCTGCCGATGATGCTCATATCAGTGCCGGTGGTGATGATTACTAAGGCATAGAAATGTGGTCCGTACTCAAGGGCTCGCCAGTGTCCACACGGCTCCCCAAGGCCTATCTTTTGTGTTTGGGGCCCCCAAAAGGTTGGCTAACTTACCAGATCACCACCCCCAAAGTTGTAGCAGTGTCACAGGAGGTCTACAATGAGACGCCGGAGGATTTCGAGGGCATCGCATCCGCTTTGGATGCAGGGCTGCACATGGTTTTGAGCGTAGGCGTCAAGGTTCCGGTGCCACAGCGGCTAGTTGTTGAAAGTTGAGAGCTACACCATCTTGCTGTGTGACTGGCAAAGCTGAGGAGACAGCACCAGGTGGTCGTCGAGATCTGAGACCGACGGAAGTGATGATGTGATGCCCATCTGCGGACCTCTTCGAAGCTCCGAAGTAGTAGGGCCGGAGATGGTCAGCATCCGGCAGCTTAGAAGCGCTCCAAAGGGGCCGAAACCAGAGCCACAGCTTAGTTTACAGAAGAGCTGAAAGGCTCCGTCACATGTTCAAAGCACACTCTTTGTCGGCTTCTGGGATGAGAGCTCTCCACGGTTTGTACAGGGAGGGCACGAGTGCCGAGTGCTGTCAAAAGGACGCTGGGGGGCAAATTTAGGAGAGCCCCCCACTGTAGGAAGACGCCTTGAATTCTAGAACCCTTAAGATGATCTCATTCATATATTCCTTAATTCAGAGGGGGTAATTTTCGGACTCCCTGAGCTCCCGACTCGCGTCTTTTCGAACACTTTTCGGCTCTTTCCACGGAGTCCCTAAACCCTAAACCCTACACCCTAAACCCTAAATGCAGGTCGAGGCACTGACCGCCTCCCTGGCGGCGGCGCGGTGCGAGCTTCAGGCCGAAGTGGCCTCTGGAAGTCAACCCAAATCTGTACCTGGAACCCCCCGAAAGTATGTAAAATCATTGAAGGGTCTTGGGCCATGATTTTACTCACTTCTGGGGGCTTAGGTAGGGTTGAGGCATCAGGAGGAGTTCGGCGATCAGATTGGTCTTGTCTGGGAGCCGGGGTCAGAAGCCTCACTTCGCCAGGCGGAGGCGAGTGCAGCAGCAGCTCATGTGGTGCGCACGCTCGTTTATTTTGCGGCTTTGATTCTTGGTTGTATGGTTGGTTGGTGTAGGGCCCACGAAGGTCTTGAATCCTCGAAGTCGATCATTGATGATTTCTGTCCCACCCACCCTCCCCTGATACGTTGACGGGTTGATTTGGAGGTGGGACCTTGCTGGACTTGGATTTTCTCCTTTATTCCCCCTTTTCCCGAAGATTACAGGGTCTCTTGCAGCCCTTCGGGGTGTATGGGACTGTGGTTCCATCACTTTTCGGATGGAAGGATTATGTTCTCATATCCTGCCTTCGCTACCCGTCGTCTTTGACGTTTGGTGTTTCCCTGAAGCCACGCATGCTTTCTTTTCGGCAGCTTCAGGAACTTCAGCTTGAAGACTTTTCGTTTGGACTTGTTAGAGTCACGAGCACCTGAACATTAGGATACTGGTTTTGGTGTATAGGGGCGCCTAAACGGGGCGATTCAAAGAACCCTACTTGAAAAAACCCTATGTTCCGGTGGTCCTTTGGGCCCCTAACTCTTTCGGAGATCGAGAAAGTCGCATGAGACCCTGGCCGTGCCGGCCGTGCGATAGGGTCCTGGGACTCGGGGGACATAGGGGATTTCCAGAAAACGAGGTACCCTTGTGTATATCCCCTGAGCAGTAGGATCGTGAAATAACCTCCTGGGTATCTACACTTAGTTACACTGTTCCGCTACCGTCCCTGCAGAAGTAGGGTAGAACTTTCCCAACAATAATAATAATACTAACAATAATAATCATAATAATACTAATGATAATAACAAAAATTAAGAGTAAGAATAAGAATTATAGTAACAATAACAATAACAATAATAATAACAATAATAATAATAGTCATAATAGTAAGAATAACAACAATAATGTTGAACCATGAGGATCCAGGTTCCCTTCTGAAATCCTTTGTCCATCTCGATATTCAGAAACTCCAAGCTGCAGTTCTCCGAAACCCTCACTAAGCTCGGCTTACTTCCAGGGCCAGTGGACTAGGTCATGCGTGAGGCCTACTTATAGGGCCAGTGGACTTGGTAAATAGGTCAGGCATGGGACTAAAGGCAGGGTAACCTCAAGAGGGTACTGGCATTCTACTTAGGTGGGAACCTACCTATTGCCTCCAAATACAGCCAGGACGAATGCACACTGGAGAGCTTCCCAATGCGAAAGTTCAGGGACGACCGACAATGACTTTTGGAGGGTCTTTACATGGAGCCTCGTACTATTTTGGGTTCACATTGGGGTTCCCCTATTGTCTGAAACCCCCCCAAACATAGATCCCACATAGTAGTAGGACGGTAGGACCTTTTCACGAAGAGCTATGATCAAGGGACCGTGCTCTTCGGAACGCCCCGGACAGGACTTGCGCAGAAAACGCCGGAAGGTCCCCCGTTTAGAGGCTTCGTATGATTATGAGTTTAGTAGTGTAGTTTAGGGTTTCCGTATCCCTTGGAAGGTTAGAAATATACCCAATCTTTCCCTCTTTCCGAAAATATCCCAAGCCCTTCACCCTTAACCCTAAACTCAGCTGCACCGGGAGAAAAAGGGGGCGACGAAGAAAAGTGAAGCTCGGATGAGAAGCTGCTAGGCCTTGAGGCGCTGTTTCAACTCCTGGCATCAGAAGGCGGCCGATCATCGGCAGCAACTTCTCAGGCCGAGCCCTCCTTGATGGAATTTTGGTAGCCGTCCTAAGACAGTCAGACAGGTCCGAATACCTGGCAGCGGCAGTATTGATTGGGGTTTCCCCTGTTAGCATCCTGGTCCAGTTCATGCCAAGACCCGACTCTAAACCTTTAGTCAGGGCTAGTAAGATTTGGGGGTTGAGGGGTGTGGGCGGTGTGGGGTTGGAGGGTCCTATCATAGCTTCTGATGGTACTGGAGTTGTTCGAAGCTGCAGTCCGCTGTAGGGCGTTGAGGCAAGAAGCCAATGCTGAAACAGGTACCTCAAAGGGATCACAGCAAGCTGGGTGGTAAAGGTTCCATCCATTCTCAAGTAGGCATAAGCAGTTTTAGTTCCATGTTGAAGGGCACGTGATTTTTCCTGGCTGTCGCTTGGCGTTGCACATACATCCGCTGAGTTTGGAAGCTTGTTTTTGCCATGTGACTGCGCGGCAGATGCATGCCATGACCTGTTGGTTGCTTGATTTCTCGATGTTGCTTATTCTCGGTGCCATCGACAAACCTCCGAAGCAAATCCTCGGAGAAGCCGCCTCAGCCCCGTCCTGATGACAGCTTCATGCACAGCAGGTCCTCAAAAGAGCACTGGGTTGAATTGGGCTAATTCGCCAACCCGCACAGCCATCCATCTGTCTTGTTTCCACCGGCAACGGAGCCATAGCCAACAACCAGACAGAAAGAGAGACAGCGAGATAGAGGGAGGGAGGGAGGGAGAGAGAGGCGAACAGGATCTAATGTCCTTTATGTTACTTTGTGACTCGGGGGGACTGACTCGAAAGCATGTGGGTTCGTACAGATGCTCGCCCTGGTACGTGTACTGGTACGTATAGCATCTCCCCGACAGCCCCAGGAAACATGGGGGGCCCGATGGGCCGGGGAGCCTCGCCCTCTCCCTTAGCCTGAAAGAAGGAAGGCGAACAGGGAAACAGAAAGACAGGGAGACCACACTCAGCTCGTGTCGGATGGAAGGCGTGTTTGGGGCTCCTGGGTCGTGGCAGCTCGCACTGCTCACCACGACCTGTTCATCGCAGGACTCGGTGGATGAAGTTTGTAATGAACATACACTGTATCTCTGTCTCTGTCTATCTAACCTTCGTCTTCTTTCGGTGTAGACCGGCATATATTAATATGTATAGGGATATATGTATGTGTTCTTTCTATACACATGTGTATATACATGCACAAACACAAACATGCACATACAAAGCTTCATGAATGTGCATGCTAGACTAAGCTGCACTATGCTGTACCAGACTGCCCGTTTCTTCGCTGTTGCATGTTGATAGTCTTCCGGCAAGTCTGATGGTGACACTAAGCATTTGAAAGTTGGATGTGCGCAGGCTTGACAACTCAGGCCAGGCCTTCTTCATGAACATTGCTAGTAAGTCTCCAAAACGCATGACGATACATCACTGTACCATGATGTAACATGCATAATGGTTAGCAGTGTGTAAAACGGGATCAGAGGCGGCCTTCTTGAAGCCCTGGACTTGCATCGTGATTCTGCACGTACGTTCACGCTCCGCATTGCGAACCAGCAGAGATCCAAGGCCCTGTCTTGAGGGAGCGTGCGCCAGGAGAGCGGAACGCGGGCCCACCAGCGGCACCAGCGCCTGAGCTCGTCTCGAAGATCGCAGAGTGGCTGGGATCTGCGAGTATTATTCAAATTGTCTGCATGTGGCTGCGGTTCAGGTGCCATGGGTATATGATTCCGCAAGTCTGGAAGAATTGCTGGGTGAGTGATGCTCCATGATGCTCCAGTGCTAGCCTCGCCCAACTCCAAGCTCAGGCTCGAGAAGCAGCTGAAGGAGCAGAATGAGATAGAGGTCGGCAAGCGTGCCTG